GAGCTACTGACGGAGACAGCAATAAACTTGTACATAGTTCATTTTTATTTATTTTCATTTATTTTGAAACTGAAAAAAAAATTAGTGCGATTAACGCCTCGCCCGGTTTGTTTCGCGCCACTATAGCTTAATAGATAATTTGTCTTATGCACAAGCATGCAGGATCAATTGTGAAGTCTTAAACTAACATTTTACGAAAGAGCTTATCAGACTATGATATATGAATGTATAAAATTACCTCTAGGATTTATCCGAAGCATTAACAATGCCAGTGGCGTAGCAAGAATAGGTCGCGACCATTACCTCTGACGGCACATTTTAGGGGCCGACATTTTTGCAAAGAAACGACAGTAACCCTTAACTTTTTCTCAAGATGCCTATAGCTCTTACTGAATAAAATAAATATTGTTCTATTTACTTTTAATTTTTAACTTCCCGCTTTGAAAATTAATAATTTTCTAAAGTAGGAAGTTATAGATTTCGGTCCGATTTTGAGAATGCTAGTCTTCTTAGGAAAGGAGAGTCCTAGGAAGCTGTTCCGATTTTTCCGGCCGGACGTCCGGCCGTGTGTGTGTGTGTGTGTGTGTGTGTGTGTTTGTGTTATATATGTAAATAAAATAAAATAAAATTTTGTCGTACGGTATCTTCAGAACGAATCAACCGATTGAGATGAGCGATACGGCGTTCGAAAGTGTTCATTGAGACTTCGATCTGATTAGATTTTGAAGTCAATTGGTCAAACCATTTTACAAATATAAAAATTATTTTAAAGTTTTTTCTAAATAACTTTCAAAATATTAATATTATATATAAATTTGAAAGAGGCGTTTAAAAATTACAGCTATATATAAATTTCTAAATTATCGTTTTTTTTAGATAACTTTAAAATTCTTCGATCTATCGACTCAAAACTCCACAAACAATTTTTTACACTTAAAAACTGCGTCGAATGATGCTAAGTAAATTAAAATCGAACGAGGCGTTCAAAAGTTATAGCCATTTAAAAATTTCTGAATAATCGTTTCCTTCATATAACTTTTGAATTTTTGAGCTCGAAGAGTTTAAAAATAAACTAATTGGAAGATTTTGGAGCGTTTCAAGCTCGAAAAAAGCAGGAAGTTCCAAGTTCGGCCTACCGATCAACCGCTTTTCAGATTTTTTTATAGACTAAGGGTGTAAAACGGACACACAGTTCACCTGATGGTAAGTGCTGCGGCCCATAGACATTTACATTTATCCTAGGTTAAGAATCAAAATGCATATGTGTTTTTGTACCTCTGAGGAGTAAGATGAATGCCCTATTTCCAGTAAATAAGATAACTGTATAAAAAGGATTTAAAACTCTTTTATGGACATTATATTTTGTCAGATTGCATTTAAAGTTTTTCGCAATCTGATCAACCAACCGTACAAATCGTACCAACACATGCTATGCCAGTGCACAATGCCATATATAGACAATAGTAAGCAATAAAAATTGAATAAACAGTAAAATCTATTAGGTATGACTTAAAAAATATCGTCTTTCATGTCTAACATAACAAACAATCATACATTTGTGTACTTGACACTAATTTCCTTTTATTTTTCTCCAAGATTCGGAACGGGTATTGCCATTTTAATTTGCACTCACGTCAGTTCTGACAGGATAATCCGAGTCCGAATTTCGGTAGGGCGTTCGCTGGAGCTGACTCTAATGTGTGATCTTGACGTGTGTGTAACAGGTTTTTTCCTCATCATATTAAAAATAAAATTAAAGTGCCAGAAGCAAAATATAAATACGTCTTGTATTTTAATATCCGTCAAAATTAAAACGCACTTGTTATATTTGGCGCGACCCTCTTATGTAACTCACATATGTTTTCTAGTTGCTTCTGTCTATTCTAAGATACAAGATTTATCCTAGTTTAGGAATCAATGCAACATTTGTTTTGTAACTTCTTAAGTTTTTAATAAAGATTATTATTATTATTATTGTGGGGTATCTATATAGTTTTCTCATCTGGTTGGGATGTAGAAATATATAATTATAAACGAAAATGAAAGGATAAATATACATAAATATCAATAAAATAAAATAAATACAAAAATACATAAATAAATAAAAGCCCAACCAGATGGAAGCCCTCGGCAGGGGAGACCAAACGGCCGAGGGTTAGGGAGAAAGGGAAAGAAACCGGCGGACGATGCGGGCAGTATCAAGGAGCACCGCCTTCTGCATTTGAGCCCGGGGCGGTCCGTCACGGATTCCCAGTCGCCTCAGATGACCAGAGAGGCTAACTGGGATTAGCCCATTCGCAGAGACGACTACAGGAATAATTTCGGCTGGCAGACCACCCCACATGTCGGTCACCTCGTGAGCCAGGTCCAGATATTTTGATTGCTTATCTGTTTCGGCTCTCACGAGGTTCTCGTCATACGGGATGGTAATATCGACCAAAAATATCCTTGACTGTGCCCGGTCCATCAGCACAATATCAGGCTTATTCGCAAGAATAGTCCTGTCTGTGATTATGGCCCGGTCCCAATAGAGCCTGGCGTGGTCATTTTCGAGCACGGCTTCCGGCAAGTACTTGTAATACGGCAATTTCCGGTCCACGAGACCGTATTTCAGAGCGAGCTCCTGGTGTAGAATTCTGGCTACTAGGTTGTGCCTGTGCAAGTACTCAGAGTTAGAAAGCGCCGGACAACCGGAGATGACATGCCTAAGTGACTCCCCGGGATGGCGACAAGCTCGACAGACGTCGACGGTGCCATCCTTTAGGATGTATCTCCGATAGTTGTTGGTCTTAATAACCTGATCCTGTATTGCACAGACAAAACCCTCGGTTTCCCCCGAAGAGGTCACCGAAACGTAGCCAGTTGAGGGAGGCAACTGTATCTACGAAGGGCTCATGTAGAGCCTTGTAGTACCTCCCGTGGAGCTCCTTCTCCTTCCATACGGTCTCCCGGTCGGAATTGCTAAGCACTGCTGGGTCCTGCCATTGCTCGTTGGCTAAGGATAGAGGGGTAAGCCCTTTATCACTAGAAATGACGTCATTATAGAATGGATCATCCGATCTCGCCAAGAAGTACTGACGGAGACTGCACACTTCGCGATTATGCATGGTGAGCGCGCTCAGAAAGCCACGCCCACCATACTTTCGCGGCAAGTACAGCCTCATTACCGACGATCTCGGATGATGCATCCTATGGGACGTCATGGTAGTGCGGACTTTTCTATCCAGGGCGTTAAGCTCAGTCTGAGTCCACCTGAGTATGCCAAAGGTATACATGAGGACAGGCATGACCCAGCCGTTATATGCGCGTGTCTTATTCACACCGGACAAAAGGCTGTTAAGCACTTTGGTCAAGCGTGCATAAAACACATCGCAAACTGACTGTTTCATACCAGCCTCATCGACACCGATGTTCTGTGACATACCCAGGTATCGGTATGTTTCAGCCTCGGAAAGGGTCCTTATGTTGACGGGCATAGACAAGTCTATGCCCTCAGAGTTAGCAACCCTTCCCCTTTCAACATGGAGGACCGCACACTTATCCGTCCCCAGCTCCATTCCAATGGAACTGCTAAATTCACAAGTGATGTTTAGCAGTTCCATAAGATGGGAGCGACTGGAGGCGAATAACTTGAGGTCATCCATATAGAAAAGGTGGGTCACTTTTGTCCCTCCTTTCCGTAGCTGAAATCCCCTCCCGGAGCCCTCCAGTAAGGTACTGAGAGGGTTAAGAGAGAGGCAGAACCAGATTGGACTCAGACAATCGCCCTGGAAGATACCCCTTCTTATCCTTATGTGGTTCTCCGCAGCCGTCATCCGCTCACCCAGATGACAAAGGATCGTACTCCACTGCCCCATACACTGCTCGAGGAAGTCTCTAACTGTACAGTCAATCTTGTACAGCTCGAGGACCCTCTTTAGCCATGTATGGGGCACCGAGTCGAACGCCTTTCTGTAGTCTATCCAGGCGGCAGAGAAGTTCCGACGGTTGCGTTTCACCACTTTGCCTATGACCGCGTCAATGAGAAGTGGTTCCTTAGTTCCACGACCACCGCCCCGACATCCATTTTGAGCGCGTGACATCACCTGGTTTAGCTCCAGGTGACGAGTGATTCTCGCGCTCAAAATGGATGTCAGTGTCTTATATATGGTGGGTAGACACGTGATAGGGCGGTATTTGCTCGGGTCTGTGGTATCCTGATCTTTAGGAACCAAGTGAGTGATCCCAGTAGTGAAGAGGCTCGGGAGTGACTTCTGGTCGAGAGCCTCTTGAAACTGTCGGGCGAGCACAGCGTGACACACTACGAACCCCTTCAGCCAGTAATGATGCAGCACGTCTTTTCCAGTTCGGGGCCCTACGGACCACCTCAGCCACGTCTTCTGGCGTTATGGTGATGGGGTCCATAGGCATAACACTCGCACCCTGGCTCGCCCCAACTTCCATCCAAGGGCCCTCACTGTGGTTTACGGGCTCTGACCACAGGCCACGCCAGAATGCGATAATGTCAGCCTGATCCGGTCCTTGGCCCGCTCCACATACCTTTGGTCGCTCCAATAATTTATAGAGCCTCTTCTGATCACTCTGGAAGAGACGATTCTGGTTGAACTGCCTTGACCACTCGGAAAATCGTCGAATCCGCTTCCCCCAAGCAGCGATCTTTTGCTTCAGGTCGTCTATGCGCTCCGTTAGTTTCTGCGTGGTATCCGGCTGGGACAAACAGATATTTGTCCCAGCAAACGCCATCCTAACGGTGCGCATAATCCTCGGTCTATTATTACCCGACCTGAAGCTTGTCAGTCTGCCGATAAGGGCCTTGCCTTTGCGATACGGTCCTCGATTCTTTTCCTCCAGGCTGGGATGGCGTTAGTTTGTGTAGTAGCGCGTCCAGCCGTGGGAAATTGGCGCCAATAATACGGCAAACTGCCACTGCGGCGCCAAAGAGAATCGAGTCCGTCTCGCAAAGGTCCCGGCTGGCTTCCAAATAGGTCACCAGCATTGGGTTAAGAGCCCTCACGACAGCCCGATTTCGCTTGCTTAAGGGTATGCGGGGGAAGTCGCGGTCGATTTTCGAGAGGGGTGCTGCGCGTTTCCAAAATCGCCTCTTCCAATATACTCCTCATTTGCTCTAGTTCGTGGGAGACTATTTCATCGTCGTTCGAATCAACCACAACTGGAAGATCCATGGCGGCTTCCACGTGTGGATGCTGGTCTGTCGAATGTGGAGCTGCATCTCCAGCCATAGCCGATTCATTCGACGACGGAATAGCCTCACGTCGTAGTCGTTCGAGTTCGGCATCGTCAAATATTTTCGAGCGCATGATGTACCGAACTCGGTCTGCCAGGTTTTGTTCCGTGACGGGGATAGACGGCTCCAGCTCAGCAAAAAAGCAATGCATCCGAGACCTATACGCTATTCCCACAGTTTCTTCCCCTTTCGCCCTATAGTACGCCCGCAATGCGTTTTCGTTCATGGATTTTGTCCAACGCATGCGACGTGCTCCACCAGCGGCGGGTGCCGCTTGCTGGGTCCGAGAAGACCCAGCCGACACCAAGCCTTCTGGTGGGGATGATGGATTATTATTATTATTATTATTATTATAAATATAAAGTTAGAATTAAAATACATTATAGTATAATAATACAATTCTATCAATTGACACTTTGAACACTACGGCTGTTTCAATATTTCGATGAGTAATCAAGATACGCAACCTTCTCTTACAATTTACTTACAATCTTTTGTTGCCCGAAAACTAACCTTGATAATGCGAATCGCAATGTTCAACTGCTTCTAATTTAAATGACTAGTACAATCGTCAACGTCTCGGAAGATCTATTTTATTTATTTTATTTTATTTATTTTATTTTACAAAATAACAGTGATAAATGGGCTTACAGTCCAACTGATGGTAAGAATAGATGCTGTAGCCCGTAGACATCTGTTTTCTATTTAGAATAAACTTGCAAAAATATTGTTGGTACTGAGGATTTAGACGGAATGCCTTGATTCCAGTGAAAAGGGTTTCCAGGTCTCCACACTCACCATACGAAAGACTACAGCATTAAACTATTATTTTACGCTGGTGTTCTCTAAGTGCGTAATCCTACTCGAGCCGACGTATTCCTGCAACAATCATACTCGTACTATAGCTGCAGTGTGGCGCAAACTCGGTAAAATATCATATGTTCTCATCTGATTGGGATACTTATGTAATAATAAAAATATATTCTTAGAATACATTCAATAAATTATAGTTAAATGAATAGATAGAACCTTAACAGACGGAAGCCTTCGACACGGGAGACCAAACGGCCAAAAGGTTACGAGAAAGGGAAAGAAATCGACGGACGATGCGGGCGGTATCGAGGAGCACCGACTTTTGCATTTGAGCCCGGAGCGGTCCGTTACAAAGTCCCAGTCACCTTACATGACCCGAGAGACCGACCGGGACAAACCCGTTTGCAGAAACTACAAAAACTACAATAATAATTACTGTCAGCATGTCAGCCCACATGTGGGTTAGATCCAGATATTTTATATTCTTTTTTGTTTTGACTTTCACGAGGTTCTCGTCATACGGGATGGTGATTCTTTAGTTAATTTAACGTTATCTGGATACGTATACTATACTTATACTTACCTGAATATCTTATACACTTCTATTTTTGTTTATAGTGGTCCAAGCAACTCGCTGCTCTTTGAATTCTGCTTACCCCTCGGAGATAACATGCGTGAAGCCGTGTATGTATTATATGTGATAACATATGTTATATATGATCATCATTACAGCCCTTAAAAGTCTTCCCCCAAGGAATGCCACAAAGCACGATTCTCTTCTCCACTCTAACTGTATCTTTTACCAAATCGTCAGGCCATGTAGTGGGGGATCCCTCATCGGTATTAGGCTGTCATATATCGAGATCCTCATCTTCCTGCTAGTGTCTTTGTAGCAAGTCAAGTCATTTGTTCTTGATTTGAATTATATTCAATCTTTTATTCGCTGCGCTTTTGATATTAAATCTAATAATCCATTATATTTAAATGTTTTATTTTTTAAAACTTTAAATCACTAAAAATATTTAAGTATAAATTCATGTTCTTTTTGTATATCTGAGAATCGAACCCGCCACCCGTAGAGGAAAATGGTTAACGACTACACCGAGCCGTGTCACGTGTGCGGCCGGCCTACTCAGCGTAGTGAGTATAGACAAATCTCTTTTTTTTTTCAAGAATGTTGTGTTGTAGTTCTTGTAAACACGATATCTTAGCACAGACTTCTGAAGCTTTTATGTAAAAAATATTTTATCACTTATGACCACTGATCACAATAGCCGTGGTAGCTCAGATGGTTAACGCTCCCTGTAAATTTCACAGTACGCGAGCAACCCGGGCTCGAATCCCGCTAGCACCAATGTACTTGTTAATTGCGATTTTTAGTGCTGATTTACCACGTACTTGGCGATAAATGAAAATTTCGTGAGGAAACATGCATATCTGAGAAATAAGAAAAAAAATGTTTCGAAGACACGTGAAGTTCGCCAACACATATTTGGGCAGCGTGGCGGACACTTCCTTGCCCTAAAACCCTCTCAGAAATGAGGGGAAGCCTGTGCCCAGCAGTGGGATGTATATAGGTTGTAACTTTACTTTTTTCACTTTTTCCACGGCTCTAGATCTGATAGTGGTGGGTCGTTGTCGAATTTTTGACGAACGAAACGCAACCGTTTTTCCGATGACGAAAACAGTTGCAGAAAATTCGTCGTTGCAACTGGTTTAAAGACGGCTTAAAAGACAAAACTTATATAACATGGAATAGAATTGCGTTTTCGTCGAGTGAAATGGTTGCAGTTTCTTACAACTATCAACGATTTTCGACTTTACTAACGTTTGTAAACGAATGCAGAACCAAAGACTATAAAACGTGGAATTTTAAGGACGACGACGCGACGAGTGAGATAGACAATTGAATCATTGCGTTCTCGACTGTATTTTCATATGCATAAAATAAAAATTCGCATCAAGTATTTCAAAGATTGGTTTGTGCAATGAAGATTTTTTTAACCCAGGACGTAAAACGGTTCCATCGTCGCAGAACACAAAACGGTCTTTGTAAACGGTTCGTCGCCGCAACGCCCACCCCTAAGATCTACATACATCATGTTATAAAGTCATAATTAAGCAGTTACACTGTTTCAGTTCTAACGAATATCGATCAGTAATTTAGGGTTTCTAACGATCATGTAATTTAGTGTTCATCATCATCATCATCATTACAGCCCTTCACAAGTCCACTACCGAACATAGGCCTCCCCCAAAGTATGCCACAAAGCACGGTCCTGAGCCACCTGCATCCATCGACTTCCTGCATGTCTTACCAGGTCGTCACTCCATCTAGTGGGGGGTCGCCCTACACTACGCCTACCGGTACGAGGCTGCCACTTGAGAACCTTTTTTCCCCAACGGTTGTCGGTTCTTCGAGCTATATGACCGGCCCATTGCCACTTCAGGTTACTAATCCGTTGGGCTATGTCGTTTACTCTGGTTCTACTGCGGATATCCTCATTTCTAAGTTTATCACGCAGAGAAACTCCGATCATAGCCATAGCTCGCTGAGCGACTTTGAGTGTCCTCATACGGCCAGCAGTGAAAACGTCTCAGTTCCATATGTAATCACTGGCAACACTGGTTGTACAATTTCGTTTTCAGGTTTTGAGGTAAACCTGACGAGAAGATGTAACGTAATTTCCCGAACGCTGCCCAGCCGAGTTGAATCCGTCGATCGACCTCTCGGTCGAAGTTGGACTTACCTAGTCGGACTATTTGTCCCAGGTAAACGTACTCGTCAACAACTTCGAGCTTAGTGCTCTCAACAACTACGGCATAGGTGTGACATGGAAATTAAACATGATCTTTGTTTTGTCCATGTTCATCTTAAGACTTATCCGTTAATAGGCACTATTGAGGTCATTGAGCATAGCGCTTAGGTCCTTCAGCGATTCTGCCATAAGGACTATATCGTCAGCAAATCGAAGGTGAGTGATGTACTCGCCATTGATGTTAATACCGTATTCTATCCAGTCCAGTAACTTGAAAACGTCTTCCAATGCAGCGATGAAGAGTTTCGGGGATATGACGTCACCCTGTCTTACACCTCCATGCATTTGGATAGGTTTCGTACTCTGGTTCTGTACTCGGATAGCCATCGTAGCCATACTGTACAAACACTTCAGCATTTCGATATACCGACAGTCAACTTGGCACCGCTGAAGAGACTATAGCACCTCCCAGATTTCGACGGAATTAAAGGCTTTCTCATAGTCCACATACGCCAGGCAAAGTGGCAGATTGTACTCTTCGGACTTCTGTACAATTTGCCGAAGGGTATGTATGTGGTCCATGGTGCTAAAGCCTTGTTCTGGCCTGGCCTGGTTCTGGTCTTGTAAAGGCTTGTTCGGGAGGCTGGAAGTCGTCGAGTCTACGTGTGAGACGATTCGTAATGACTCTCGAAAACAGCACGTAGACGCGGCTCTGAAGGGATATCGGTCTGTAGTTCTTCAAGAGAGCATTGTCACCTTTCTTGAAGAACAAGACTACCGCACTTCTGCTCCACGCCTCGGGAGTAGTACCACCATGGAGGACGGAATTAAAAAGCTTCTGAAGGACTTTAAGTACCGGTGTTCCACCCGCTTTCAGAAGCTCCGCTGTAATTCCATCCTCGCCCGGGGACTTGCCGTTTTTAAGATGCTGGAGAGCCATTCTAATCTCACTCAGACTGACGTCCGGGATGTCATCGGAATAGTGTCGGATAAGACTTGCTCTTGGATCGTTACTTGCGTGTGGCTCCAACGATGATGTGTACAGCTGCCCATGGAACCCCTCAATCTCACTCAAAATCTCAGGTGTCCTAGAAACGATGCCGCCACACTCAATCTTCAGCTTTGACAGTTGGCTCTTTTCGGCAGACAGATCTCTGGCAAAGACTTTCGAGCCCTAGTTCCGCTTAATCGCTTCTTCAATACGAGCTGTATTGAAGTTGCGTAAGTACTGCCGCATGCATTTGGAGATCTGTCTGTTCAGTTGCCTGTATGCTGTCAAATCTGCTGACGACTGCAGCTTCATCTCCCGTCTAAAATCCATGAGATTAAGAGTGTGATCGGAGAGTTGTTGTGTTCTTCTGCGGCGGGTCTTGTAGAACTTAGCTCCGACCGCATGGACAGTTTCCACGAGCTTGTCATTCATATCGTCCACTGTATTGCAGTCATCTAGGCACTGAAAGCGGTTTTGTAACTCGAGCTGAAAAGTTTCGGGATTCTGGATCAGTGCACGAGGGGGACGGAGCGTTAACTTCATTAGACGAGACTTCTCCAACTTAACATTTAGGTTCAGTGTGCCTCTAACCATTCGGTGATCGCTGCCAGTTTTCACCCTTGCGATCACCGAGCCATCACTGAACAGTTGGCGTCTGGTTGTCATAATGAAGTCAATCTC